AAGGGGGCAGAAAAAGAGGGTGGGGACAGTTTTTGGGCTGCTTCTTCTTCGGTTTTCGGGGAAGGACGTTGGTGTGCTGGGTCGCAGAACTGCTGCGGTGGAGAGAAGGGAATTCGCCATCACCCAGACAGAGCTGCTGCTTCTTCTCTTTCTCCCCTCTTTGTTGGCGGCCTCGCACCCCCTGTCCTGCCGGGACGTGTGGCAGCCACCGCTGTGGAGCTGCTAATACACCTCAGCCACTGGCCCAGGATCTCAGCTCATCCCTGCTGCTCCACCTCATCCACCAGCCCAGGATCTCAGCTCATCCCTGCTGTTCTAGTCGACTGTTCCTCGGAGCCCTGCAGGAGCACTGGGACTGTCCGCCCGAGGGGTTTGTGAAAACAAAGCCTCTCCTCCATCCCATCTCAGCCGAGAAAGCTGTCCCGGGGTCCCTGGTTCTGTGTTCTTGTTATTGCTGTAGTTATTGTTTGTTTGTTTGCCTGGTTATACTAGTAAAGAACTGTTATTCCTATCCCCAGATCTCTGCCTGAAAGCCCCTTGATTTCAGATTTATAATAATTCGGAGGGAGGGGGTCTACATTCTTTCATCCCAAGGGAGGCTCCTGCTCTCCCTAGCAGACACCTGTCTTCTAGAACCAAGACACCTGTGCATTTAAGGTCACTTGTGGTAAAAAAGGAGAGCAGACCACAAAAAAATAAAAAGAGAACAAACTTGGAATGAAGAAGTAAGGCTCGGTAAATGGATACAAAACACTAAAAAGAGAACAGGAAAAAGATGAAATAAAAAATAACAAACTCTAACCAGCAATAGTGATAGACAAGATACCAACCCCTCTTCTACCCAGGGTTTAGGAGGAAGTAAGGCTTCATTTGAAGACATGTGAAAGTATAGGCCTAGATAAATATTAAAAACTCATTAACTTACAAAAAATAGATAAACAATCACTGAGAGTTTAATCCCATGTAAATTATTTTTCTCTACAAAAATTATTTTGCTCTACGAAAGTCAATTCATTCACTAAAGAAACAGAAATACCACCACTGAAGTTACAGTGTGTCACTTTCTCATTTTATAATGATCATTACTTGGAAACTGTTTATGCTGCTAAAGTGCAAAATCTTTTATTTTATTCCCCTCCATTTCATTGGAAATAAGACATATGCAAGTAAAACCAGTGTTGTTGGAGGACACTTTTTAGTCATAATTTATCATGCACACTAATCACCAACAGCAATGGAAAGGAGAACCTCTCATTCTCATGAGATTAAGACTGACAAATCACGTATTGTGACATATGGTCACAAATACTGTTTCAGCCCTCAGGACCTATACCAAAAAGTATTTTCCCATGGATACATAAAAGAAAGCTTGCTTTGCCACAGGGGATTTTCCACTAAGAAACACATCTACTGGTTGAGCCCTATCTCTACAGATCTGGTGTCCTGTACTCTTTCCTAAGCTATGGTCAGATGGAGGATATTGGGCTGCCTGAATCTTTTAGTCCAGCACTGACAGTTTTACATTCTAACACCTTGGAAAGGTAAAGGGGACAGGACATTGTTTTAATACAGTATCAGAGAAAACTTAAAAATATATTAAAATGTAGCATTGTTTCTCACAGATGCCAGAATTAGAAAATTAGCAATCAAAGAAAACCAGCCAGCAGGTTTACAACAAAGAACAAGAAACATTTTTATAGACTGTCTGTAATGTACACACAATTAAATGCTGAAGTGCTTCAAATACTTCAGAGCTAATAAAGGCTTCAACTCACATTCATTTCCCATTTCTTTCTTATTTCCATCAGGTATTTGAAGCACAGTTTTTTCAGCAAACTTGCAGGAGAGTCTCTTTGTTTTTCTGCTATTAGTGAGGGCTGTAATAAAGAATTGGGTGAATAAAAATTCGGAAGAAAAGGTTTAAATAAAGTATGTGTAATTATAACTAATGAAAATATGGAATAAGGAATTCTCCTCCAGGTCGAGGTAGAATTCCTTTTCCAAAGTCACGGATTGCAAAAGAACCCCCCCAGATAACAAACCTCAGCAGGCTCATCAACTCGGAGGAAAGGACAGGACAAAGACCATCATAGAAACAAAAGAACTAGCCTGAAAGTCTACCTCCAGACCAAGGCAACGCCCGGCCGATTTCGGCCGGAGACCATCAAGCAAGACAAAAGGGACGAGCCTCAGGAAAATGGTCGTTGCCAGAATTGAACACCACACCCGCCAAACCTATGCTAAAGAAACTCAGTCAAGAAGGACAAAGAAGAGACTACTCCTCCGAGATATCCATCGGCGCTAGCCCGGATCCCTCGACTCTGCTGTGATGAAATATGTTAAAATACATACAGACTCACTTTGCATTTGAGGAGACTCTGCCCGGACACTTACTGACTCAATGTTCTAGGCCAGGAAATCCATTCACCTGACAATCAGGGACACTTGGTGAATGGAAACTGGTTGGAATTCTAGCCTGGGGACATAAAATCCCTATAAAAACCCAGGCCAGAGAACCCTCAGACGTGGATTTGGGAACACCTATACCTTGCGTATAGACCCTGTCCACCCAGCGCTGCGCTGTCCATTTATTGTGGTTTTTCCTCGCTGTTTTGCTGTTTTGTTAATTTATAATAAATTTATCTTTTTTTATCTTTAATCTGCCGTTGCATTTATAACAGGGCAGAGGTCACATTCTTGGCATACAATATATTTCATGTTCTTTCCCCTTTGGTGCATGGTCAAACATCTAGGACATTGACAGATAAAAAGCTAAAATGAATAATTATTCTAGAAAAGGTGTCTTAGAAGAATGGAAAGCATCCATCCCTATGGCAGCTCATAATGAGATATACTACCACTTAAATACTGTAAATGTTTCACAATGTAGTGGGTTTAGCACTGGCTAAACTGGATAAGTCACTAGTGCATCAACTAGAATTATTTACTCATTTCCTGCTGTGAGATATGAATTAGGAGGAGGGCAAAGCGGGCTCAGTTCTTAAAAGGTATAAAGAAAACTTTATTAAGAATAAAAACATATAGAGAATAAAAAGAATCACAATAAAACCTTCAGATTCACTTTTCCTCTCCCTGCCCGACTCTTTTCCTTTCCCAAGTTGGATCATAGAGACAAAACCTGGGATTTTAAATCAGGCTACTACCTCTACAATAGTCTTCCATCAGTCCTTCTAGGGAGACAAGTTTTCTCTCGCCAGAAATTTCTCCACAATAAACAGTTCTCTCATGGCTTTTAATTTTCATGAATAGCAGCTGCCTGGGAAAAAATCTGCAATAGTGAAGCTCCTTCCATTTTCACAGCTTTCCCACAGCTGAGTAAATGGGCCATGTCAACTTATGGGGTATTATTTTAAGGATGAGCTGTTAAAAAGCAGAGGTTCTCTTCATCTGTCTCTGCAATCATCTTCATCTCTGGGAACAGAGGTTTTCTTCACTTGTTCTTTCCCTGGGGGGAAAGAGTCTTCATCACTCTTATTCCTCTCTCTGCTCAGGCTTCTCATGGGATCACAGCTACTTCAACATCTGCTTTGCTTCATTATGGGTGCCTCTGCTCACATCTACATTTTGAACACTCCCTACCCCCATACTTTCTCATGAATGAAAGGGGATATTCCAGTATATCATAGTCCATCTTCATGGCCTTACCAAAAGACCTTTCAGCCCCAATACTAGGACATTTCCTCATTCTCCTTCCACCTGGGACTTGACTCCTTCTTTACTGACTTTAGCGTCTTCACATTATCTTCTACGTGTCCTCACTCTGTGCTTTTCTCTCACCTGAGGTGAGAATCAAGTTTTGCAGGTCTCATCTGTGTGGTGGAAGAGTTAATATCTCACCCAGGCCTGTGGATGGTCATGATGGTTTCTGCCAGGCAGTGGCTGAAGTAGTCACAGTGATGGATTTCAGGCCACGCTGGGCCCCTTCTTTTGCCCAGCCGTCGCTGGGGTCATGTGGGCTGTGTGGGGGCCTGTCCCAGCCTGGAGCCCCTCCTGGGACCAAGCAAACCCTGTCTGGGCACAGGCTGTCAGTGGGGATAGGGTTTAGTGTCAGCGAGATGTCAGCAGACATGGCCTGGCCCAGCCTTGGCCAGGGCCCCAGGGCCCCATGGCCTCCCGTCCCCCGTCCAGGTGCCACTGTC